CGGAATCAAGTCCACGCAACTATCTTAAGTTTTTTCTCTCAAGTTTTTTCTCAAAAAACTTACAAGACAAGTTGTGTATCGATTAATCTTACTAGCAAATGTTTAATGAGTATTTATATACAAATAAATTGTTCATATCCTAATGAAAATCTAAAACCAGTTTTCAATAAGATTTAACTTACTTATTCTAATGTAACTCTTATATTTGGAAGACTTATGCTTATTTCTTTATAAGTCCCTCAAGTTTAATTTGTCTCATACACTAAACTACAAGTTATAAAAACTTATTTTGGAAGTCTCTACTTGAAATTCTTTTAATCCAATTAAAGAAGTTCTTTTAATCCAATAAGACAAATTGCTAGAAATCAATTGAGTAATATTGTTCAGCAGTTCAGCTATATGTTATTGTCTTATTAATTAGTAAAGTTTTTGACGGGTTTTTAATATACGTACAAGTTAAAATCCGATTTACACCCGTTTGACTGCAAATATATAGGTCAAATTAGTAGTTTAGGGCATGTATCAAGTCGGTCCCACGAGGAGCAATGTCTACAAGTACTAGGTCCTTATTTCCTCTATTATTTAGACTTACAATAAAATTGAGCAAGAAAATTGTAAAGCTACTGCATACAAATTTGATTTAATAAATGCAAGATACAAATGGAAAAATTTCACTAAAAACTTGAATCTAGGAATGTAGATTCCACTTATGACACAAAAGATCCAAATGAATAATGTTAACACTTGTTACTACTCTTGTTTAACTAGGGAGTCATTTCCCAAAATACCAAAATCTCATTCTCATGATAATAATGGTTTAGAACAGTTTAGTTTTTCCTAATCTCTTGGCAAATAACTAACTCTATTCTTGTTCATGCTTGAAATGCAGATTTCAACCACTTGAATGTATTTCTATTTTCATGAACTTACAACTCAAGTTCTACTTATGTTATTTCATTGTTTTTACCATTTCTCAATGAGTAATACAACTACAAACCTGCTATTGGTGATCAAACAACAACAAGTAATCAAGCATACACAAGTAGACAAGTTACTACAAGATATCACAAGTGTAAATCACATTCAATTTATATCATTTGGCCATAAGTTTCATCTACTCCCTAGATATAGAAATTCAGCTATTCATGGATGATATAACAATCAAATTAATAACTTCATTGATGGAAAACATGACAAGTTACAAGTACAAGAAGGATAAAGAAAAGCTTAGCCAAGTTAATGGTGAAACCCTCCAATTTCTGCTATGACTTGCACTAGATGATTACAAGATGAAGTCTCCAAGTGCTCCTTGCATGTTTTTCTAGATAGAGAGAAAAATGTCTACTAGCAAGAATGCTAGCTACGTCTCCTCTTGACTTCTCCCTCTTGTTCTGCATAAAAGCTAATGGAAAATTCTCTTTTTCTCCCCTCATGATTCCAAAAATCTCAAAATTTTTAAGAAAGTCAAAAGAAATATTGTTTTGACTTGACAATAAATCATATTATCCTTCTTTTTGCTTCAGAAGCATGTGCCACCGAATTCTCTCACCAAAGATAGCTGGAAAGTAGTATGAAAAGGTAAGAAAACTAGTTGTGCCACTTGCAAAGGAGAGAGGCAGATCGGATCAAGGCTGATCCGAGGCTTTTTCACATGAATCCGAGCTCGGATCGACTAACCTCGGATTCACCAATCCAGAAGTACAGACGAGGGCTCGGATCCTCTTGTTGCACACGAATCCGAGCTCGGATCCCTTTTATCAATTTCCAGATTTTCAATTCCTTCCATTTTTTCTTCATTTTTGCTCCTAGTTTCTTTTGTACCTTATCCTCCAAATGATCCTTGTTTTTTCTTTATCTCGTACATGAAGTTCACATAGCAATATCCTTCAAAATATCAAGATTGAAGCATTAATCGACTCATTTAACAAGTTTTGATTATTCAAACAACACTTAAGCAATTTGCAACCAAAAGAGTTCAAATATGACTTTAATCTTCTCAAAACATAACAAAAGATCATACCAAACTTGTACAAAATGTACGTTAAATATTCACTTATCAAATTCCCCGCAATTCATACATAATCAACTTCAATGATTCAAGAGATGAAACAATATATGTACTTTTGTCAAATTTAATTTCTCAAAACTTGGAAACCAATCATTATGCCTTTATTCAGATTACACTAAATTCTCATAATATCAAGTTAAAGAAAGATAATTTTACCCTAATTTTACTAAATTCAACTTAAATTTCTCATCCTAACCTAATTTCACTAATAAGCAATTCACATAGTCAATTTATAGCCTTCCTCATCCTATGACCATTTTTTTTCAAAATTTAACAACTAAGAGGGAATTATTCACACTTCATTTTACTTAAATAGTGAAAATGCCTTTTTATGCGAAAATCGACACTTTTAGGTGAAGATCTCCGATTACTCAACATATCACTTTTTCAAGTTGTTATGCATGCTCTTAACTCAAGCACTTTTTGATGCGAAAATTAACATTTTTAGATGTCAATCCCCGATTACTCGGCACAAGAATTATTGGAGTAAAACAAATATTATTATTATTATTTTTATAACACAATAACTAGATATTCCCTGAATAAAGGTTTGAGTTGCATATAATGATTACTAGTAAAAGAAAGAGTGCAAAGGAGAATCTGAAGTTAGTGGATGTGTCCTTCATAGGGTTCATGATTTCAACAAATCATTGTTTTGTCCTATAACAATTGTTCTCCATAATAGTTAGTTAGTTAGAATTTTATTATGCCAAAATAACGCATCTCTTATTCTCTGCAGACTTGTTTGGTAAGTTAGGGTTTGGCGTTGGGTTTGGCCGTCATGGCCGCTGGTCCTTCCTCTTCGGGGGAGAGTGTGCCGCCGCTGGGCTCTGGTGGTCAGAGGACATTCGCTGATGTTGTTTCGGCCAAGGCTGACAAGGGTTTTCAATCCAAGTCGTTCGCTTCCCTAGACACGGCCTCACGGATTCAGGCTGCAGTCTCCACTCACAGGGGGGAGCCGGCAGTGACGTTTGCTATGGAGGACATCGTGCGTATGGCTTCTCCTTTTCAATATGCGTTGGTGGGGAAGTTTTCTCGTGGTCGCCCGTTGATGGAGGGGATTAGGAAGTTCTTCCAAACACTAGATTTAAAGGACGAATGCTCATTGGGGTTGCTGGATCGCCGGCACATACTGATTCGCCTGACGAATGAAGCGGATTATTTTCGGGTATGGGCCAGGAGTATTTGGTACATACAGGAGGTCCCCATGAGGGTGTTTAAATGGTCGATAGATTTCCACGTTGATAGAGAGTCGTCGGTTGTTCCGGTTTGGTTTGCGCTTCCAAAGTTACCTGTGCACTTGTTTCACAAGGAATGCTTGTATCCTATTATCTCGTGTTTGGGTAGCCCGTTGTGTGTGGATGCTGCGACGGCAAAGGGGACAAGACCCAATGTCGCTCGGGTATGTATTGAAGTGGACTTGATGAGAGAGTTGCCGAACCGGGTTTGGATTGCATTTGGAGATCGGCTGGGTTTCTGGCAGGAGCTAATCCCAGAGATTTTGCCTAAGTATTGTGGCCATTGCCTACACCAGGGCCACTCGGTGGATGAATGTAGGGTGAAGAACCCAGAGTTGAAGGTGGTGCACTGGTGCGGCCACGGAGGGATAGGCGAGAGATGGAGAAGGCCAATGGTCCATCGGCGGGGAACAGAGATGGGTCACGAAAGGCCGGGAGAGGGCGGGAGTTTCGGCTGAATGAGGGTGATGTGGCGGGTCAGCAGGCTCCATCTGCTCTTGATGAGGCAAAGCAAGGGGTGGCGATAAGTTCCGACGTGGCATCTGGGATTCGGTCGGAGGTCCGTCAGCAGAGGGCAGAGTATGTGGAAAAGGCTCACGCCTCTGGTGGGGCGTCTTTGGATCCTCCGCGGCTTCTGATGGCTGAGGAGCAGGATGCGAGCGGCACTCGGGAGGTCGGGCAGGTCTTGGAGGAAGGCGAGCTGTCAGTCGGCTGTCTTGTGGTGGAGGAGGTTATCCAGGATGCTGCAGAAAAGGAGATCGAAAGGATTGCTGGTTTGGTTTGTGATGAAGAGGCGCGGTTGGAAGATGTTGTGGAAGAAGATGATGGGGGATTGGCAGAGCATGCACGGCTGCTGCCCACCGCGGGGGAGTATGTGCTGGCAGCAGGAGGTCTATCCCCACGGGGAACGGCGCTGGTGGAGTCTGCATTGGTGGAGGAGGTTGGTAGGCTCGAGGTAGTACTGGAGCAGCCCCAGCAGATTCAGGATGATTCATTTCACGGGGTCACAGGCAAGCTGAAAGGTGTCCGCGCGACGTTTCCCTCTGATGGAGCTCTGCGCTCTACGGTAAGGGCTTCTCAAAATTCTGCTCTCCTTTTACCTCATGATTAATGCATTGTTCTGGAATATCAGGGGTATGGTTAAATTATCCCATTTTCGTAGGCTTAGAAAATTAGTTGCTTTTCATAACATTCAACTGCTGGTGGTATGTGAGACGCATGTCGGGATGTCGTTAGCAAAGGAGTTTAGGGTTAGACTGAAATTTGATTACGTGATTTCCCATTCTGTGGGGCGGTTGTGGGTGTTCTATAACGCTCCTTTTTGTTGCTCTCTTTTGGGGGAGGGTGCTCAGTTTTTGACACTATCAGTTCAACATCCCGGATTGACGAGTTCGGTCTCCTTTTCGGCGGTGCATGCGGCGTCCACAGGGGAGGAACGGCAGGCCCTTTGGGCAGGTTTGCTCCAGTGCAGACCTTCCCACGGTCCCTGGGTGGTGTGCGGGGATTTCAATGTTGTTGTTGGGGAGGAGGAAAAGAAGGGGGGTCGGCCGTTTACGATTGCGGAGGCAAATGATTTCGTGACTTTCATGGCCGCCGCTGGATTGGTGGATGGTGGATTTTCAGGCTCACGGTTTACCTGGTGCAATAATCGCCATGGCCGGGCTAGGATCTGAAAAAGGTTGGACCGCTTACTGATGAATGTGGAGTGCTTTGATATTGGCTTTTCAATTGGCGTCACTCATTTGGAGCGTCATCCTTCTGATCATGCACCATTGCTACTGTCCGTCAGTACAAGGTTGGATGGCAAGCCCCGTTCGTTTCGATTCATCAATGCTTGGGCAGACCGGGAGGATTTCTTGGCGACGGTAAGAGAGTCTTGGCAACAAGAGTGTGGTGGGTCTCCGATGCATGTGTTATGTTCTAAGTTACAGAGACTCAAGCGACATCTTCGACTGTGGAACAAGGGCCGAGTGGGGAATTTCTCGGACAATGTTGCAAAGGCGGAGGGAGAGGTGGGACGGTTGGAGAGAATGTTAGAAGATGGGGGGTCAGAGGGGGTCCATTTGGAGCTCCAGCAAGCGCAGGCCTCGTTGAGACGAGCTTTGACCATGGAGGAGTCGTTGTGGAGGCAGCGAGCTCGGGTCAAGTGGTTGGCCTTAGGTGATCGCAACACTAAATTTTTTCATTCGGTGGTAAAGCAGCGGCGTATGACTTCCATTATCCACCGGATTCAGAAGCCTGATGAGGGTTGGGTTAAGGAAGATGCGCTCATTGGCGAGGAGGCGGTGCGTTACTTCTCATCCTTATTCTCACTAGAGGATGTCCCTGGGATGGGGGAAGTCCCTGATGTTATTCCCCGTCTGGTGTCTATGGAGGATAATGAGCGGCTAGAGGAGGTGCCGGATTTGGAGGAAGTCCGACAGGCAATTTGTCAGATGGATGGAGAGAGTGCTGCAGGTCCGGACGGTTATTCTGGCCGATTTTTCTCTGCTGTTTGGGAGATAGTAGGGGGTAATGTATACGATGCTGTCCGGAGTTTCTTTTGCGGCGCGAAACTTCCCAGGAGGATCACTGCGACGTCCATAGTCTTACTGCCTAAGGTGCAACAGCCCAAGGATTTCTCTCAGTTTCGGCCGATTAGTCTTTGCAATTTTGTGAATAAGATTTTTTCAAAAATCCTGGCTCTTCGACTGGCTCCTATACTGTCTAAAATCATTTCTCCAAATCAGAGCGGGTTTGTGCGGGGTCGTTGCATAGCTGATAACTACCTTCTAGCTCAGGAGGTAATTGCAGGAATTAAGCAGAAGGCACGTGGGGGTAATGTAGTTTTTAAGCTTGACATGATGAAGGCTTACGACAGGATGATGTGGCCTTTCTTGGTTAAGGTCTTGCGGTCCTTTGGCTTTGGAGAACGCTGGATTGATATGGTCTGGCGGCTTATATCCAATGTTTGGTTCTCCGTTATTGTCAACGGGTCCCTCTGCGGTTTCTTTAAGTCAGCTCGGGGGCTTCGTCAGGGGGATCCTTTGTCGCCTGCTTTGTTCATTATTGGAGCAGAGGTGGTCTCCCGGGCGTTAAATCAGCTGGTGCACCAACGGGGGTTCCAAGGCTTCAGAGTTCCAAGAGGGTGCCCGACTATTACCCATTTGGGATATGCGGATGACGTTCTAGTGTTTTCAAGTGCGAATGTCACCTCCCTGCGGCTCGTAATGAGGGTTTTGGACGACTATGAGGCGTCCTCTGGCCAGCGGGTGAATAAATCGAAGAGCTGTTTCTTAGGTCATGCTACCTTGGGGAGATCGAGAAGAACGGTGATTCAGCGGGTTACGGGTTTCAGATCGAGTTCATTTCCTATCAAGTACCTAGGTTATCCTTTGTATTATGGCCGCCGCAAGAGAGTGTTTTTTGAGGGGCTATGCCAGGCTGTGGTGCGAAAGGTTGAGTCCTGGGAGAATAAGTTGTTATCTGCCGGGGGTCGGATTGTTCTGTTGAAGCATGTGCTATCTGCTCTCCCAGTCTTCCTCTTGATGGCTGCATCTCCACCCAAGTCGGTATTTAGGGAGATTGAAGGGCGGTTCTCAAATTTCCTTTGGGGTGAGTCGGAGTGGGGGCATAAGTGTCATTGGATCAGGTGGCAGGATTTATGTGTGCCAGGGGATGAAGGGGGCTTGGGGCTGCGACGATTGGAGGATATTCACAGAGCCTTCTCCATCAAGCTTTGGTGGAGCTTCCGTTCGTTGGCCTCTTTATGGGCGACCTTTATGAGGGCTAAGTACTGTGCGCAGGTGCATCCTAATTTGGTAAATTGTAATGGGGGTTCACTAATCTGGAGACGGATGGTGACAGTGCGGCAGTTTGCAGAGCTTCACATTGGTTGGATTGGGCGATCTGGAGGCTTGAATTTCTGGTTTGATAACTGGCTCGGGACAGGTTCTCTGGCCTCTCGGCTGGATAGTGTCTCGGACCATTTGCTTGTTGATTTCGTGGAGAATGGCCATTGGAACCTTCCACTCTTGCAGCAATGGGTTCCGCACGGGGTTATCAGTGAGATCGTGCGGGTTGTGCCTCCTGTAGGTCATTTGCCCGATTTAATGGTATGGAGACCATCTTTATCGGGGCAATTTAACCTAAGTTCGGCGTTCCACCTTGTGAGGAGGCATGTTAATCGCTCATTTATGTCTAGACGAATATGGCATCCGTTGGTGCCTTTGAAGGTTTCTTTCTTCTTGTTACGCCTACTTCGCGGGCGTTTACCGGTGGACTGTTGCTTGATGAAGTTTGGGGTTCAAGGGCCTTCCAAGTGTGAGTGTTTCCCTTTGCCTTCTATCGAGACTATTGACCACGTCTTTGCTACGGGGGAGATAGCGTCACGGGTATGGCATTTCTTTGGGGATCCTGTGGGAATATCTTGGGCTGGGTCATCCTTTCGTGGATGTATGGCGGCCTGGTGGTATGGGAGGAGAGGCAACCGACAGCTCGAGTTTGTGCATCAGATTCTCCCACTCCTGATTTGCTGGCAGTTATGGAAATGCAGAAACAGCATGCGATATGATGGGGCCTGTATCGGGTGGACCAGGGTGTGCAACTTGGTTTTGTCCGATCTATTGGAGCTGTTCGGTCTGTTTCTTCCCTACCGGAGGCCTTTCCCCTCGGACTGGGTACGTTTCTATGCAGAGATCTCAGGGTGGGCACCCCGGATTTCCTATACGCTGGTGCGGTGGTCTCGGCCTTCGGCGGGTGCTCTCAAACTCAATACGGACGGCTGCTCCAAGGGTAATCCTGGCGCTAGTGGAGGAGGAGGGATACTTCGGGATGGCGGTGGCAGTTTGATTCTGGCGTTCTCGTGTTATTTTGGCCATGCTACGAGCCTTCAGGCCGAAGTTTGTGCGCTTCTTTTTGGGGTTCAATTGTGCATTCAACGCGGATTTGGCAGGATTGAGGTAGAGCTAGATTCACTTGTCCTAGTCCACATTCTCCTTGGAAAGGCTACATATCCTTGGAGTGTGTATCACGAGATTCAGCAGCTGCTGGGATTACGCGGCCATTTCTTAACAGTTCGACATTGTCTCCGCCAGGCAAACCAGGTTGCTGATGCTTTATCAAATGTCGGCTGTGCTCAGGGGAGAGAGGAGGTTTACACTTCTTCAATAGCTTTACCTCGTGTAGCTAGAGGAACCATGCGCCTTGATAGAGGGGGGGTTCCTTCGGTTAGACGGATTATCCATAACTAGGGCAGTCTGTAATGGTTTTTCCTCAAGTTGATCAATAAAGTTTTAGAGTTTTGAAAAAAAAAAACTAGATATTCCCTCATTAAGTATAAGAATAATTAAAGAAAGAGTATGGCTTTTTATTGACTAGATCAATCACTTACTTGTAAAATTAAGCAAAGAGGAGAAATCTTATTAAACATGTAAAATTATAGGCATAATTTTTCTTACTTAACCGGATATACTTTCTAAAATATAAAAATCCTAATTGCATAATAACCAATTCCAAGTTAACTGAGGATTAAATCTTCCCAAAATACATATAACATTTCAACAAATGGAAGAATTAGACACTTCAGGTTGGAACAATTTGGCCCATAAAAATGCAAATATTTGAGATATTTTGGCTATAATGAAATATTGGAAAAATTTTAGAAAAATTTTGACAGAGTTTTCCCTTATAAATGGACAAAACTCCCTGTCAACATTCCCAATTTCAAGAAAATTATCCACATATCAATATTTTCAAATATAATTCCAACATTTCTAAACCACAATGAACTGAAAACATGCACTTCAAGACACAATCAAGACATAAGGTAATCAAAACACAAAATACCCTCCCCCACACTTAAATTCTCAATGTCCTCATTGGGAAAGAAGGGAAAAGAAACTAGTACTCCCCTATAAAGAAGTGGTGATGCAATTTGAAGCCATGAACATCACGAACATCCAAATTCTGTTCAAACTGAAACAAGGGATATGGTGAAACATAAGTAGCACAAGATTAACCAAAAAAATGAAGACTTCGAGGTTTTAAACATAAGAAAAGCAAGAAAAACAAAAAACTTCAAAGCTGTTATGTTCACAACAAAAGAAACATCATCAAAGGGATCTTCACGACTGTGTAGAATCAGGATCAACGCACTCCGTAGCACCTTGTGGCCCATGGGATGTGCCAATGTGACCCTCCTCAGTGGTAGGCATCGAAGAAGGCGAATGACGAATATGAAAATAATCCTCCAATGCTCGAAGATGTCAATCATGCCTCTCCAATCTCTCTGTCAGTACACGCTCGTGTTGGTCAATACGCTTCATGACTCTGGTCTCCATGCAGCAGATGGTATTGAGAACTTCTTGGCACCAAGACCTAGAGGGAGGGGGTGGAGGTGGAATGGGAGGAAGTGGAGTCAGCTGTGCCTCCGTTTCTTGAGCTTTCGGTCGTGGTGTAGGATGAGGTGGAGGCTGAGTGGAGGTAGGAGCTTTACCAGTGTCGCGAACCAAAGAAGCGCCAAAGTCCGTTGAAATACCCAAGAACTTGAGTAACGAAACATTGACTTCATCGGCAGCCTAAGTGACAATGGCTCGCTCGGCTCCAAGAGAAATCTCGAGTTTCTCAAAAAGAAGGGACAGAAGACGAGGAAATCCAAAACAGGTTTCGCCGGCTCTCATGTGAGCTGTGGTACGCATATAGCTAATAATGATGCTGCCGAGAGGAATTCCTGTCAACCGCCGACCTATTCCATTCATCATCTTATCCAAAAAGTATAGGTCGCTATTTCATACTTCCCTTTTGCCACTCCTCTTAGGTACCACATTAAAAGCAAAGAAATAGAAAATAAGGTGATACCTAAACTCAAATGAATTGGCATAAACGAGAAGCTTTTTCGAACTTCCTCGTTCACGGTATTGACCCTTAAGACGTGATACAGCTTCTCCCACTTGCCATGGATCACGTGCCTTAAACTCCATGGTCAATTTAACATCTTTTCTGTCGTCCTTGAGTTTGACAAATCGAGCGATTTTCTCCCGGGTGATGGCAACTGTGGCTCTGCTTGTCCTCCACATTAGCATAAAATTTCCGAAACAAGTTGGAGTAGTAATGCCGAGGCAACTTCAGAATATTGGCCCATCCGAGTCGACCAAATGCTGTGGAGACCTTATAATGATCATCTACCTCTGGTGCCAAGTGTTTTTCAATAATGATCTCCTTGGCTAAGCCTGCCTCATACCACTGTTGATTTTCTAGCAAGGTGAATCGCGTGGTATCATAGTCCGGAGTTGACTCCTCATAGCTAGTAGATGCCCTCTTACGCCGTGAATGTGGCGGCGACTCAAGAGAAGAATATTCCTCCACTGGTGATTCCTCAGGTATTGAAGAAGTGCGCTCTTCACTTGAAGAAGGCGAAGGCGTTCGAACAACAGCCCTTTGTGTGCGAATCATGGTTCCTATATGAAAAAGAAGATCAATGGACATTAGAAGCAATCTTTACCCCTTGAAAATACACTGTAAAAATGTTGGAAAGTAATTTGAGAAAATTTCGGCAGAGTCTCCCCTTGAAAAAGGAAGAAACTCCCTGCCAACCATCAACAAATTCAGGACCATATCGTACTTAACCAATTCACAAACTAAATTGCACATGTATTAAGTCCATTTCAATCCAAAATCGTATCACATGGCTTGAAAAATCCACTCACCACTCCATTTCTTGAAATTTTAAACACTAAGCAAGAAAAAGATAAAAACTAGAAATACAATAGATTTGCAAAGTTGTTGGGTACACATTCAAGCTTGGGAAATCACCTAAAAGTAACATTTCAATACTCATGCTAATATCATGCTCAAATTCAACCATTTAGCATTTTTACCCAAGGAATTCATACGAATTTATGCAAATAATCATATGTTGTCCTCTAATTGGTACAAAAGTAATCTCCATTTCTTAAAAACAAGTCAAACTGATCCAAAGAAGCAAAAAAATTTAGGTAAAAAGTACAATGTGCTTTAACCTAATAATTGAGAAAAATTATACAAAAGATGTCACCATATTCACGAATTCCTCAATACTAAGCATAGAATTAGTTCCAATAACATGTAATAGCACAATGTAGCACAATTATACCACGAATTTTCAACATATATGTATTTCCCAAATATATAGAAAAATAGAAAAAATTAATAAAAAGGAAATGTATAATTTCAAAGAAAGATGAAAATTCTTACTACAAATGTGTAGAGTGATGCTAATGGAGGGTAAGGATGCCAAAATGAGGAAGAAAACAACCCAAATTTTAACCGAAATTGAAGAATTTCAGTCGGCCCCAAAGTCTATTGAAGATGATTAAAATCCCTTTCGAATGATGTTTTGATGCAAATTTGTTGAGGGTTAATGATCACAAGATGTAGGGAGATGTTTTTATGGTGAAAAATTGGAAGTTTGGTGGTTAAAATGGGAGATTGGATAAAGGAGGCTAGGGTTCGGTGAAGAAAAATAGGAAAAAGCTGGAAAAATGCAGAATCGAAGTCTCGGTTCTGCTATATTCGCAAACCGATCCGAGTTCGGATCGGTTCCAACAGCCCTCGAATCCGATGGGCTTGGATCCGGTTCTTCAGAAGAACAGACGAGCCCTCGGATCCAAGTGGATTCGAGCTCGGATTTGTTCTTTTCTGCAATAATTGCAGAAACTGCAATTTTTTCAATTTTCTTCCTTTTTCCAGCCAATTCCAAACTGCATCTTGGAAGAACTTTTTATCAATTCTAACCCTCCACACAAGTGTAATATACCCTAAACACTAAATCCAACCTCTCAAAACACATCAAACATATTTAAATTGCAAATCGATGGGTGAGGTTCTTTGATCATTTTGGCACTTTAACACTAAAATTGCACTTTTAGGCATGAAATGCACACCAAATGAGTCAATGAGCATATACAAACATGTTATCACCGGAACTCACTTGAATACAATGAACATGAAACATTGGATATATGAACTGAAAATTTAGACACTTAACACAGAATCCAATAGAAAAAACTCCCTTTTTACGATTATTGGTCAAGTGCACCTCCAAGATAGACGTTCATCATCCGGTAGCCCCCCTACAGACCATTAAAATATTAAAATTCACTCCAACTCATACAAAACATATTAAAACACATTAAACTAAAGAAATCGTTGGGTTGCCTCCTAACAAGCGCTTTTGTTTATTGTCGTTGGCTTGACTTAAAAGTTGGATTCTCAAATTGAAGAAGAGTCACCCAAGTGACATATAAGTCCCTTGGGAACGATTTCATCTGCTAAGTAGGATTTTAATTGTTGTCCATTAACCTTGAATCTTTCATTTCTGGAATTTGCCACTTCAACGGCTCCATAAGAAAATACTTGAGTAATTTCAAATGGTCCCAATGACAAGTTGTCAGCCTGTGCAATAATAAAAATCTGCTCAACTGAAATTAATTTTTATAAATAGTGGTAAGCAGGGTAGAATCCACAAAAATTAGGTGTAACTGTTTCTTTTCAAATTCAAGGTAACCAGGGGGTGTTTTTGTGCAGAAGATGACAAACAGAGAAATTTAAATAAAATCTAAGAAACTACTAAAAATTAAATAACAATTTACTAAAATCAAATGAATGATAACTAAGAATCTAATCAAGAAATAACTTCAGCAATGGTTCACTTAATTGATCATCGATGCAGAGCCAATTCCAATTATTTACTAATAAATAGGTTATAACTGCCAAACAAGCGATGACAGTCAACCCCTCCTTACTGTGTCGGTGATTAAGGTACGCTCGTTAACCACTACTCTAATTGACAAATAATCTTAGGTACGCTCGTAAGATTTAATTCCCCAATTGCCTTACATATTAGAGGAGTCCGATTCTAACTAAATAACACACTACCAGGGTTATTTCAGATTAGCCCGCATATCCCCCTGACACGAATCTAATCGTACCAGTTGTCACTATTTCAAGACAATTAAACAATTACAGATTTAATGCCCTAATTGACAATAGATTATCAAGTTAACTAACTATCCGGATCCAAGACAATCAATTAATTAAATAATCATGAACATTGCAATCAAGGGATATGCGAATACCAATAAATAAAAGAAAAAAATAAAATTAAATCGATCTCACAAGTTTTAGGCGAACCAAAGTCTCTGTTGTTTCTTGACTAGAGTGAAAAAATTAATTCATATTTGATGAACAAAACCCACAGGAAATTGAGACAAGA